AAATCGGTAAAATATTGAAATGAGCCCGTTGCCATGGGCGTATTTTTGCCAATATTAATCGAAAAAAGGGAAAACTTATATCAATGAAAAGCTTGAGGGCGATTTGTATTATGTAACTATGCACAGATTTCCTGTAACTTGTAGCGTTTGTATTTTATGGACTGAATACGATTAAGAGGTAGTGGAAGGGGTAGTTGTGTCGTGTATAGATACACCGTAGCTCTCGGGCTTATTTGTTGGATAGAGACGAAACTTTTCCTTGGCCGATACGCTACCGCGTATCTCGATTCGAATAACCAACCCATTTGTCAGAACACAAAACATTGTTAATCATAACTATCATAATATACTGAATCACTTCGCGTGAAGTGATTCAGTATATATAAAAAATCGCAATCCTTATCTAGAAAATCTCAAATAAATATCAATCTATGCGCTATTGCGGAAGCTTAATCATATGAGTAATGCTATAAAGCGAAGAATGGTGGTTGATACGGATTGTATAGTCGAAGAATAGGGTGAGTTGCGAAAACAAAATTGAACATAGAAATAAACCATCAGTGCTATATGAGGAACGCAGTAACCGCAACAGTAATGGATGGACAACTGCGATATAGAGGAGAGTTTAAGGGTTTCCGACACATTTAGAGTCGGATCTCCCCATCAACAAGCACATTCATTTTCTTTTTAGAGAATGAAGAAGAAATTTAAAAAATCACAATAAAATTTGGTGAAAAAATGGCGCCAAATCGACGTGAATCTGATCGCCTCCAAGACAGAAACAAGGGACAATTACTGAATAGTTGAAATCAGACAGTAGGCGAACTGATTATGATATAATCTTATTTTTAAAAAAACATGGAAATATTAAAAAATGCCAAGTTTATGCTGACAGCGTCAACTAGGACAATTTTCCGCAGTTTTAGTTCCGATTGGAAAATCGATTATTGTTAATAAAGGCTTTTGTCATTCCGGCTGTAAGACATTATTTTACGGCTGCGTTGCTTTGCTTCGCGTCCACGAAACGCTGACTACGGCTGTTATGACAAAAAATAGTGGGCGTCATACGGCCAAAAAAAATTTGTCAACCAATATGATTGTTGCAAACCTCATCTTCGCTAGAAAAGTTTTTTTCGGCCTAATGACTAAATATACTGTTTCAAACCCCGTCCATAGGGAATTGATTCGGAAAAAAGTCAACTTGGCGCGCCGGGCTGTTCGGTAATGAACATGCTTCGTAGGAAGTGAATGATTGACAAAGCTAGAGTTCGCACGCTAATTGGCAAAACGCCAAAACTATTGAGATTTGATTCAGCTTATTATATCAACAATTGGATTCCGTATACTTGACGTGTACTTAACCTATTCACCAATGAACGTCAAATAGCATATCGGTATGAGGAGAGTGGGTACCCGTCAGTGTAATGGCGCGTTCATAAGCGACGCAGGGTGGCACACTCACATTCTTAGACAACGGCAAAGAGTGGGGAACGAAGATCATCAGTGAATATTTTAAAATGAGATGTAGTGCTTATACATGATAAGATGTCCGTAACGACTGAAGCAATTACGTAATTATCAATCGATGCATTCAATCAATAATCCACTTACGAATTTATGACTTGCTAGGGAAATGCTAAAATATACTTGTAATTTTTTACTATGTTCCCGGCAATGTAATGATACCCAGTGAATTGAAGGGGAACAATTAGGCGCGCCAAGTTGACTATTTTCCGAATCAATTTCCTATGGACGGGGTTTGAACCAGTATATTTTGTCATTAGGCTAAAAAAAATTTTCTAGCGAAGATGAGGTTTGCAACAATCATATTGGTCGACAAATTTTTTTTGGCAGTATGACGCCCACTATTTTTTGTCATAACAGCCGTAGTCAGCGTTTCGTGGACGCGAAGCAAAGCAACGCAGCCGTAAAATACTGTCTTACAGCCGGAATGACAAAAGCCTTTATTAACAATAATCAATTTTCCAATCGGAACTAAAACTGCGGAAAGATGTCCTAGTTGACGCTGTCAGCATAAACTTGGCATTTTTTAATATTTTCATGTTTTTTTTTTAAATAAGAGTATATCATAATCAGTTCCCCTACTGTCTGATTTCAACTATTCAGTAATTGTCCTTTGTTTCTGTCTTGGAGGCGATCAGATTCACGTCGACTTGGCGCCATTTTTTCACAAAACTTTTTTGTGATTTTTTAAATTTAATATTTATATGATTTTTTTTTACATTGTGTGATTTCATCCATGCAGTTATTGTTCCATGCTTCTATCTTGCGTTTAGATTAGCGTCGACTTGGTGCCATTTGTTCACAACATTTTTTTA